CCCGTCGCGTCAGCGTCTGGCAGGTATTGGTTTCTTCACAGACAGATTCTTCACAAACAAATAAGACCCCCTCAAGGCTGAACCTAATTGGGGGAAAAAGCAGGGGGGGCGGCAACGACTGGCCGCAATTATATTCCATATAACGTAACCGCGCGGCAAGTGCGTGTTCATATGCGATCTCCTTGGCTAGATCTGCCTCCCATGTATCCTCGCCCCTGGCCGGCGCCGCCGCCAACATATTGACGATCGTGCCTTAAGTTCCTAGTGGAGTGCCCCAATGATCACTCACTTACGGTGGCCAGTCGGGTCGCACACCATGGGAAATCCTAGCTAGATCTGCCAAGCCAAGTGTTCTAATATCCAGCAGGCGCTGCCATCTACCATCCCCCACTCCAGCTGGAACTTCCCCAAGAGAAACTGACATCCAACATCCCCTCCACGAAAACGGCGAACTTTTACCAACTTGCCACCCAATTCAACTTACACAAGGCTGAAACTACCATCGAGTTTTCCACACTTTCAGGAGACATTGTCAAAACTCGGCGTGCAGCAAATGTTATAATTTGTCTAGAAAATGGTTGCTGCATCCTGCCTGGTCCTGTCCATGAATTGCCGGCACTCCTGTAATACGATCTTGAGTTAGACTTGGACCTGCAATCAACATCCCAAGACGCTCGCATAACCCTCTGGATAAACCTTGCGGTGTGTTGCTATTCCACAGGCAAGAGCTACCCACTTATAGCTATAGTTATATATATACGTATATAGATGAGGTTCGATGGTTCTGAGACCACCAACGTACAACATTATCGACGCATCGCTACTCAACGAGCAGACGTGGACGGGTGCAACGTGGGATATCGGAGCACACATATTCACACATTATCCATGAGGTTGAAGAAGACAGAGGAGAGAGGGCGAGAGAGAGAGAGAGGGAGAGCGCGAGAAAGAGAGAAGGATAAATACAACAACGATGAGCTACGCAAGCGGGTAACAATGAAGACACACATAATTGGGGAGGGGGAGTGAATCCCAGCAGCGCAATTATAACAGAGCGCTACCCTGGCACTGGTGGCAACACCCAGCTCATTGGCGTTAGGCTGCCACTTCAAACTGGGCGCAGCAAGCTTAGAATACATTGCACGACTTCGGGCAGACTGCCCCTTGAACATGGAAAACCCTGAAGGCAATCACAACATATCGGGCTTGTCAACCGCACTTTGCAATGTACATAAACCATGTGCGGAAGTATGTGCACATGTAGACACGTATGTGTGTGTGTGTGTATCCGGCACCGCGCCCTTGAGGCACGAGTTGGAATGTCCTCAGGTCCTTGCCCTAATCCCTTACGCCTCAGCCCTGAATCCTGATACGATACGACCACCGTTGCGGACAACGTCCGGGCCTACTCAAGACCGGGTGGGCGAGGCCGTGGCCTCGGGAATCTGGTGTGTCTTGACAACATGCAATGCGAGACAAAAGGGGCAATGCCCTGAATCCTGAGGATTCCTGCAAAGGGCAAGGCCCGAAATTGCCAAATCTTCTGGAGCTTTCCGCGTGCCCCCTGGGGCGCGTCGAATCTTGTCGCATGATTTGTTCTTGACCGAAACGGCCCCAAGAAGGGCCATGAAGGCCCCAAGGGGCCCCCAAGTCGGTCCAAGAGGGCCTGGAATCGCCGAGCGATCAGTCCAAGATGCCCAAGAGGCCCCCAACAGGTCTCCCAAGAGTCCAACATCGCTAATTTTCCGAAGTGCTTGAAAGGTGCTGGCGTTCTCGCCGCTTCGGCTTCTCGACGCTCCAAGGCTGGCCACGAAGCCCCCAAGATCGCCCCAGGACGGCCCAAAGGGCCTCCAAAAGGGCCCCCCGACGGCCCCAGAGGGCCCCAAGAAGGCCCAAGAGGTCTCCAAGAGGGTCCAAGAAGCTTCCAAGGCGGCTCCAAGAGGGGGCCCAGACGGGGGACCCAAACGGACATTTCTAGCTCTCGGCCCCGAGACGTCCGAGGGCCATCTTGAGCTGTTTGGGGCCACCTGGAGGCTAACAAAGAGCGTCTTGGCGGGCTCGAGAGCCGTCTCGACGCAATCTTCGACCGCTTCGGAGACATCTTGAAGGACCTTAGGGGCCCCAGGCGACCGTCTTGGGACGCTTCGGGGCTCCTCGTAAGCCATTTTGTTGACCACCCTGATGCCTGAGAGGTCCATCGGATTGTTTTCTTGTTGCTGTTCACGGGTTTTCGTCTCTGGGAGGCCTCCTGGAAACGTGGCGGGGCCGTCAAAGGGCCATCTCAAGCTGCCTGGGGCTGCCTGGAGTCTGGAGGCTATCTGGGGCAGTCTTGGCGGTCTCGAGGGCCGTCTCGAAGCCATCTTCGACCGTCTCGGAACCATTTTGAAATGCCTTGAGGGCTCCATGCGATCGTCTCGGGCCGCTTTAGGGCTGCTCGTGGGCCATTTTGTTGACCATCCTGAGGCCTGAGAGGTCCATCGGACTGTCTTCTTTTGCGCTTCGCAAATGTTAGTCTCCTGGAGGCCTCTTGGAGGCCTTTTGGCAGCTTTTTGAAGCCTGAGAGGCCCCTCGGAAGCGACAAGGCGACACATGTTCGCCTCCTGGAAGAATCCTTTTGGAGACCTCGACAACCTGGACGCGCTACAAATGAAAATGTTGAGGCGTATAGTTGGGTTGGTACGTTTGGAGGAGGAAACATGGCAACTTACTGGCCATCGCATGAAGCACCGGCTGGAGGCGGCTCTAGCGCAACATCCAGTCACAGAATGGAGCAACAGGCGCAAGCGCCAGAGAGATTTGCTAGTCCAGCAAATCGAACACGAACATCTGTCGCAGTAGAGTTCTCTTTCGTATGCTTGGCGACTTCGTCGAGCGCGCCATCGAGGCCGACCGCTTCAGAGGTGGACCGATTGAGTCTGTGCCTGTCTGCGCGGAGTTTTTCGTGAAGGCCCCCGCGAACGAGATCTGACGGTTTTCATCCCTCCTGCCCCCTTTCCCCCGCTCTCTTTCGCTCCTCGCCAATGCCTGCTCGAGAAGCAATCCAAGAAAGACGATTGCATGTTTGCCTGGGTGCCGAAGGCACGGGCCAAGTGTTTCCATCCGAGTTCTAGACTGGCACGGCCTTCGGGCCGATCGGGAGTAGCGTAGCCAAGGGTCATCTTAAGCTGCCTGGGGCTGTCTGGAGGCTATCTGGGGCCGTCTTGGCGGTCTCGAGGGCCGTCTCGAAGTCATCTTCGACCGTCTCGGAATCATTTTGAAATGCCTTGAGGGCTCCATGCGACCGTCTCGGGCCGCTTTAGGGCTCCTCGTGGGCCATTTTGTTGACCATCCTGAGGCCTGAGAGGTCCATCGGACTGTCTTCTTTTGCGCTTCGCAAATGTTAGTCTCCTGGAGGCCTCTTGGAGGCCTTTTGGCAGCTTTTTGAAGCCTGAGAGGCCCCTCGGAAGCGACAAGGCGACACATGTTCGCCTCCTGGAAGAATATTGAAGACTGATTTGGGGCCTCTTTGAGGCCTTTTGGGAGCCTTTTGGAGACCTCGACAACCTGGACGCGCTACAAAGGAAAATGTTGAGGCGTATAGTTGGGTTGGTACGTTTGGAGGAGGAAACAGGGCAACTTACTGGCCATCGCATGAAGCACCGGCTGGAGGCGGCTCTAGCGCAACATCCAGACACAGAATGGAGCAACAGGCGCAAGCGCCAGAGAGATGTGCTAGTCCAGCAAATCGAACACGGACATCTGTCGCAGTAGAGTTCTCTTTCGTATGCTTGGCGACCTCGACGAGCGCGCCATCGAGGCCGACCGCTTCAGAGGTGGACCGATTGAGTCTGTGCCTGTCTGCGCGGAGTTTTTCGTGAAGGCCCCCGCGAACGAGATCTGACGGTTTTCATCCCTCCTGCCCCCTTTCCCCCGCCCTCTTTCGCTCCTCGCCAATGCCTGCTCGAGAAGCAATCCAAGCAAGACGATCGCATGTTTGCCTGGGTGCCGAAGGCACGGGCCAAGTGTTTCCCTCCGAGTTCTAGACTGGCACGGCCTTCGGGCCGATCGGGAGTAGCGTAGCCAAGGGTCATCTTAAGCTGCCTGGGGCTGTCTGGAGGCTATCTGGGGCCGTCTTGGCGGTCTCGAAGGCCGTCTCGAAGCCATCTTCGGCCGTCTCGGAACCATTTTGAAATGTCTTGAGGGCTCCATGCGACCGTCTCGGGCCGCTTTAGGGCACCTCGTGGGGCATTTTGTTGACCATCCTGAGGCCTGAGAGGTCCATCGGACTGTCTTCTTTTGCGCTTCGCAAATGTTCGCGTCTCCTGGAGGCCTCTTGGAGGCCTTTTGGAAGCTTTTTGAAGCCTGAGAGGCCCCTCGGAAGCGACAAGGCGACACATGTTCGCCTCCTGGAAAAATATTGAAAACTTATTGGGAGCCTCTTGGAGGCCTTTTGGGAGCCTTTTGGGGACCTCGACAACCTGGACGCGCTACACAAGAAAATGTTGAGGCTTATAGTTGGGTGGGTACGTTTGGAGGAGGAAGCATGGCAACTTACTGGCCATCGCATGAAGCGCCGGTCACAGAATGGAGCAACAGGCGCAAGCGCCAGAGAGATGTGCTAGTCCAGCAAATCGAACACGGACATCTGTCGCAGTAGAGTTCTCTTTCGTATGCTTGGCGACCTCGTCGAGCGCGCCATCGAGGCCGACCGCTTCAGAGGTGGACCGATTGAGTCTGTGCCTGTCTGCGCGGAGTTCTTCGTGAAGGCCCCCGCGAACGAGATCTGACGGTTTTCATCCCTCCTGCCCCCTTTCCCCCGCCCTCTTTCGCTCCCCGCCCCTGCCTGCCCGAGAAGCAATCCGAGCAAGACGATCGCACGTTTGCCTGGGTGCCGAAGGCACGGGCCAAGTGTTTCCCTCCGAGTTCTAGACTGGCACGGCCTTCGGGTCGATCGGGAGTAGCGTAGCCAAGGGTCATCTTAAGCTGCCTGGGGCTGTCTGGAGGCTATCTGGGGCCGTCTTGGCGATTCGAAGCCATCTCGGAACCATTTTGAAATGTCTTGAGGGCTCTAGGCGAAGCGATGAGGCGAGATCTTGAATCCTAGTGTTTTGCCGTGGCTTGTTGCACGATTTTACCTTCTGTGGACCTCTTGGGAGCCTCTGCTGATCTTGTAAGCTCCCTGGGGGCCTCGCGAGGCCATCTTGGGACAATGTTGAGGTTTCTCGGGGGGTCTGGAGGCCATCTGGGCCGTCTGGGCGGGTTCCAGGGCCGTCTTGGGGCCCTCTGGGGCCGTCGGAAGCTCCACCCCCTCTCCTTTCCCAAGGGGGGGGGCGTAGCTAACCCCCCCCCTTGGACCTCCCCCGCCGGGAGCCCTCCCCCCTACATTGTTTCCGCCCCTCCGAAGCTTCCCCCCCTCCAAAAGAGGCGCCGAAAACCAAAAGGGCGGGGATAATCAACGATGCGCCGAACCCCCCCCCAACAAAACAATCAAGGGGGGCGCAACTTAAACGAGCACAGAAAACTAAACGGGCGCTGGAAACCGAAAGAGCGCCTAAAAACCAGGAGAGCGCCGCAGACCAAAGGGGCGCCCGAAACCAAAAGGTCGCCGCAAACCAACAGGTCGCCACACTCGAAGGGCGCGCAGAAAACCAAACAAGCGCCGAAAACGAAAAGAGAGGCGAAACCCAAAGAAGCGCCGAGAACCAACATAGCGCCAAACACAAAAAAGGCGTCGAGAGCCAGAGGGGCGCCGAGAACCAAAAAGGCGCCGACACCCAAAAGGGCGCCGAAAACCAAAGGAGCGCCGGACCAAAAAAAACACGAAACCCAACAGCGCGCCGAACACCAGAGCGACGCCGAAGACCAACGGGACGCCGAACACCAAATATGCGCCGAAAACCATACGAGCGCCGAAAACCAAAGGGGCGCAGAAAACCAAATGGACGCCGACAACCAGGAAGAGCGCGAAAAATCCAAACGGGCGCCGAAAACAGAAAGGGGCACCGAAAACACCAAGGGCGCCGAAAACTAAACGCCGATAAGCCAAGAGGCGCCGAAAACCACAAAGGCATCAACAAACAATGGGACGATGCAAGCTAAAGGAGCGCCCACAACCAGAGAGACGCCGAAAACCGAAAGGACGCCGAACACCAACGATGCGCTGGAAACCAAAAGGGCGCCGAAGACAAAAGATGCACCGAAAATTAGAAGGGCGCCAGAACAAAAAGGGGCGCCCAAAAACCAAAAGAGCGCCGACCGAAAACAAGACGGCGCTGAAAATCACAAGGGCGCCGAAAACCAAAGGGGAGAGAAACAACAAAGGGGCGCCGAACACCAAAGGGGCGGCGAATACCAACGGGGCGCAGAAAACCAAAAAGGGCACCGAAAACCAAAGGAGCGCCGAAAATAACAAAAAGGCGCCGAACACCATAAGGCCGCCGAAAACCAGGAGGGCACCGACAACCAAAAGGGCGGGCGCCGAAACCCCAAAAACCGCCGAGAACCAGTAGAGCGCCGAAAACCAAAAGGTCGCCGAAAACCAAAAGGGCGCTGAAAACCACAAGGGCGCCGAACAACAAAAGGGTACCAAAAACCAGAGGAGCGCCGAAAGGAAAAAAAACACCGAACACAGCAAGGTAGCCGAAAACCCCAAGGGCGCCGAAAACCAACGGGCGGGCGCCGAAAACCACAGGGGCTAGAAAAACCACCAAAGAGCGCCAACAACCAAAAGGGCGCCGAAAACCAAATGGGCGCCGAAAAACAAAAGAACACCGAAAACCAATGGGGTACCGAAAACCAGAGGGGCGCCCACAACATCGACGCCGAAAACGAAAAGGGTGCCGAAAACCAAAGAGGTGCCGACAACCAGCAAGGCGCCAAACACCAACAGAGCACCGACAACCAAACGGTCGCCGAAAAACAAAATGAGCGCCGATAACCAGAAAAACACCGAAGACCAAAAAAGCGCCAGAAACTTGAGGGGTGCCAGAATCCCAAAGAGCGCCGAAACCAACAAGTCGCCGAATACTGAGAGCGTGCGCAGAAAACCAAAGGGGCGCCGAAAACTAAAAGGGCTCCGAACACCACAGGGGGGGCGCCCAAAAAACCAAAAGAGCGCTGAAAACCAGAAGGGCGCCGAAAATCAAAACGGCGCCGAAAACCACAGGAGCACCGAAAACCAAAGTTGCGCCGAAAACCAAAAGCGCCGAAAACCTAAAGCGCGCCGACAACCAAAGAGGAACCGAAACAACAGTGAGGCGCCGAAAACCAGAAGGGCGCCAAAAAACGGAGAGACGCCGAAAACCAAAAAGGACGCCGACTCCAAACGATGCGCCGATAAAACCAAGACGGCGCCGAACACAAGACGGCGCCGAAAACTACAAGGGCGCATGGAACAAGAAGAGGAGACCAAAAACCAAAAGAGCGCCGAACAAAAACAAGACGGCGCCGAAAACAAAAGAGACGCCAACAACAGAAGGGGTGCAAAAAACCTACAGGGCGCAGAAAACAAAGGAACACCGAATACAAAAGGGACGCCGAAAATCAAGGAGCGCCGACAACCAAAAGGGCGCCGAAATCCAAAGAAGCGCCGAAAACCCCAAGGGCGATGAAAACCGAAAGAGGGCCGCGCAGGCCGAAGAGATGCGAAAACTAGAACGGCGCCGAAAACCAAAAAGGCGCCGAAAACACAAAACGCGCCGAAAAGCAGCAACGCGCCGAAAACAAAAGGGGCGCCGATCACCACCAAAGGAGCGCCGAGAACCAAAGGGGGATAGAAACCGAAGAGGTACCGAACGCCAAAGGGGAATCCGAAAACCGACAACCAAACTGGCGCCGAAAATCAAAAAGGACACCACAAATCAAAGCGGCGCCGAAAACCATCAGCACGATCATAACCATCATCATATCATCATAGCATCATCATCATCACCATCACCATCACCATCACCATCACCATCACCATCATCATCATCATCATCATCATCATCATCATCATCATCATCATCATCATCATCATCATAATCATCACCATCATCATCATCATCAGCATCATAAGCGTCATCATCGCCACAACCATTGCCAGTATAACTGTTGAACCATAATCAAACATATCATCCTGCGTCGTCGCCCTCCCCATCTTTTTCCTCTTCCTCCTCCTCCTCCTCCTGCTCGCTCACCTCCCCCTCCTCATCCGCCCTGCCTTCTGGCGACCATGCCGACGAGGAACGAAGGAACGACGAGGGCGACGACGGCAGCGGGCGGCTCGGATGCAAGGGCATGTTGCCCCCTCCCCCTCCGCGCGCGTCTTCCTACGTGTGAGAAATTCGGCACCTGCAAGTTGGGTCCTTCGCTTGCGGCCCCGTCGTGGCCCGCAACATGCGAAAGCACGAGCTCTGCGCGCACGCACCGGGCGCATGTTGGGCCCCCCCTCGTTGCCCCCCCCCTCGCGCACGAATTTGCACATGCGAAGAACTCGCCACCCAAACGTTGGTTCCCCCGTGGGGTCCAGTGGACACGTGAAAACACGTGCCCCGCGCACACGCGCCAGAGGCATGTTGCCCCCCCCCGGCGAACATACTTTCACGCGCCAGAGAATTCCATTTTAAAACACCAGCTCCACGCGCACGCGCCACACTCATGTTGGGCCCCCCCCCTCCCTTGCCCATCCCCCCTCGCACGCGTATTTGCACATGCAAAGAACCCACCACGCCAAAATTGGTTCCCCGTGGGGTCCAGTGCACACGTGAAAATACGGGCCCCGCGCACACGCGCCAGAGGCATGTTGCCCCCCCCTATCCGCACTTTCACGCGCCAGAGAATCCCATGTTCAAACAGCAGCTCCACGCGCACGCGACACCCTCATGTTGGCCCCCTCTTTTCTTGCCCCTCCTCTGCGCAGGCATTTTAACATGCAAAGAACCCGCCACCCCCAAGTTGGGACCCCCTGGGGCCCGGTGGACGCGTGAAAACACGTGCCCCGCGCGCACGCGCCAGGGGCATGTTGGGCACCCCCCCTCCGCGCACTCCAAGTTCGATCCCTCGTTTGCGGCCCCGTCGTGGCCCGAAAACGATGAAAACACGTGCTCCGCGCGCACGCGCCAGGCGCATGCTGGGCCCCCTTTTGCAAAACCCCCGGCTTCGATAGGAGAGGCGCGGGGCGGGAGGTAGCTTCCGACGCGCCCCCCCTCCCCTTGCAAAGGCAAGCCCGGGCGAACCTTCGGCCCCAGAAACAAGCAAAAGGAACGCGTACCTTCCACCCTCCCCCCTTGGTAAGGCAATCCCAGCTGCGGAACAAGGGAAAAAGGGTGAGTGTTTCCGAAGCTCCCCCGCTTTGAAAGGGAAACCCGCGCTGATCTTGGGCTCCAGAAAACGAAGGAAGGGGGGGGCGGTAGCTTTGAACCCCCCCCCGGCAAGGCAATCTCACCTGCGAAAGGAAGAAGGACGCAGCTTCCAAAGCCCCCCCCCCTTCTTTGAAGAGGAAGCGCGAGCTGACCCTCGGCTCCGGAAATGGAGGGAGGGGGCAGCTTTGAAGCCTCCCCCCTCTGGCAAGGCAGTCTCAGCTGCGAAAAGAAGGGGGGCAGCTTCCGAAGTCCCGCCCCCTTGAAACGGAAGCGCGGGCTGACCTTGGGCTCTGGGAAAGGAGGGAAAGGGGGTAGCTTTGAAGCCCACCCCCTTTTAGCCCCTAGCTCCAGAATGCCGACAGAAGGAAGGGAGGGGGGGGGGTAGCTTCGGAAGCCCCCCCCTCTTTTCCAAGGGATGGGAAGGGTAGCTTCAAGCTGGAACCCTCCTTTTATGAGAAGTGTGTGCGACGGGCGGGCGCACTCTTTCCAATGTGCTTACAGTCCTGTCCTTACGGGGCGAAGCATGGAGCGTGGTGCAACATGGTATATAGATGTCAGGCATCATAGTAACCATCGCCGCAGTGATGCACGTCTTCACCATCAAATCATCGCAATGAACACCCTCATCATCCACAACATCGTTGATATGAACATCGGCAGTCACACGTGCGCATTACCAGCATTCACGCTACATCTCAGCCAACATATATTTTGTGATTCCTCACTTGCAAGGAGCCAGGCACGATGAACTCTTCCCTGGATCTCCGCTGACCCCCGCTTGCCGGGGGCGACAAGACGTGTGAGACATTTGGCTGTCCCCCTCCCTCGTTCCCCTTCCCCTGGGGTCAAACATGCCACTCTAGGGAGGGGGGGGGGACGAGGGGAGTGGGGGCGACGAGCTCGTCAACGCACCCCGGGGGCCTCCCGAGCCCCCCAAAAAGCCCCAAGGCAGCCCAACAGGGCCCAGACAGAGCGGCACGACAGTCGAAGAGGGCGTCATGACGGCCCAGGGTGGCTCCACGACGATCCAAGATGGCTTCTTCAAGGAGGCCCAAGAGGCCCCCAAGACAGCCCAGAAGCGCCTCCAGAGGATCGCCGAGAGGGCCCTAAGAGGCCAACATCATCCCCTCCCCTAGGGAAAACGTAAATGTTCAGCACATTCGCATTTGACGTTTGGACAGCGAACACGACGGCCCAAGTGGCCCCCAAGATCGTCCCAAGACGGCTCATGATGCCCCAAAGAAAGCCCAACACGTCCCAACAGGTCTCAAAAACAACCCCAGGGGAACCCCAAGACGGCCCAAGACAGCCCCTGGAGGGCCCCAAGAAGGCTTCGAGAAAACCCAAGAAGGAGAATACGAACTGACATTTCGAGCCTTTCCCACCGAGATGGGCCCTCGAGCCCCCTAGATGCCCCCGAGGGCCCTCCAAGAGTCCCCAAGAAGCCTACAGGACGCCCCCAAGAAGCCCCCCCGAGGCCCCCCAACGTCTCCCACATTCCTCCCAGAGTTCTCCAAGAGGCCCCAGAGAGGCATCCCAAGAGACCCTCAGATTCATCCAGGAGGCTCCTGACCCATCTGACACTTCCACGATCGTCTCAAACACTCACTCCTTGTGGGGGTCGCCAGAATGGCGTAAGCCACTTGAAAAACAGTCGAAAGACAAACGCCCTGAGGGAGCACAATTCGCTACAACCTGATAAAGTACTTCGCACTAATAACAGCCCTGGCAGAGCGCAATTGACATGTAACCGACCAGCCACGAACTGATCCCTACCCCTAAGGTTGACAAGCCCATAGCTCAAAGGCGATGCCAGTCTTAGGGATGCGCCCTCAAAGACTGAGGGAATCCTCCTGATCGGCATCCAGATAAAGTGATGCCAATCATAGGGATGGGGATCTGATTCAGGCTGGCAGGAACGGAAAACTGAGCGTGCTGGCCTTAGCAGCATGAGCAATGAGTAACTGGTACGACTAACAAGATGCGCCAACGTCCTGGTTTAAGCCAGAGCACTGCACCCAGAGCGTGACTACTTCTCCGGACGACGGTCAGCAAGCTGGAAATGCATCGCACGGTGTGCGAATCTCTATTCTTGCTGCAGCGAGGTCCGTATTATTCCTGGTGCTGTCCGGAAGTATACCGCTGCCAAACGCCCGCGCCGTCAGCGCAGCCTGCGGTGGCACGGCGCCGAGCAGACACAGAACGCAAGCGGGTGGCAGACGCTACCAAAGCAAGGCCCCGCTAGAGTCGGACTCGTGCGCGTTCCCGCTGTGCCGAGATCCGCCACCGCGCCGTAGGCACTGAGTGAGGTGTCGCCGGGTCCATTCGAGCCCATGGTCCCGAATCTGGTAAACGCTGCTTGAAGGGTTAGGGGCCCGAATTCACGGGCGCTGTCGGGCCGCCCGGCCCGGACGCTTCCAGGCGTTCTTGGGGCGGCTCGGGTGAATCTGCATGACATGAGGCCTCGGGAGCGCGGCTGGATCCCATCCATACTTCAACACGGCCTGGGATGGCCCCAAAGGCTGTCATGGATTGGCGGCGCGCACTAGGGGGTAGAGGGATGGGGGAATGCTTGTTGGAGGGCGGCTTCCTCTTAGAAGGCGCCGTCTACCCTTCTACGAAGCCCAGGGCGCGCCGCTTCTTAGAAGCATCCCAGAAGCTTCTTAGAAGCACGGAACTGCTTCTTAGAACCCAAATGGCCTTTTAGAAACAAACCTGCTTCATAGAAGCACACCAGGAACAACTTTCATGAAGCAGCCACAAACTTCTGAGAAGGGGCACCCGCGCCTTCTAAGAAGGGGGGGTCCTTCTAAGGAGCCTTCCCCTCTCCCGCCACTCCCCTCTGCGCGTGGCTGAATGGAGACCTCGTGAACGCTCTCGGGCCGTCTTGAAGGCCCTGAGGGCCGGTCCAAAAAAACACCCTTCTTGGACAATACAATGTTTCCTAATTCCCCATATCCTAAGACGAGGCTCTTGTTATCCCCCATATCCAAAGGATGGGGTTCTTGTTATTCCCCAAATCCAAAGGATGGCATTCTTGTAATTCTCTGACCGCGCTGGACCCCTCATCATCATCCCTCCCCTCCCCTCCCTCCTCCTTCTGCACTAGCTGATGACGATGATGATGAGTGTCATGACGATGACCATGGTATGGTGAGAGTATGATGTGAGTATGATAGTGATGGTGAATGATGGATGAGTATGGTGATGATGATGATGATGATGATGATGGTGGTGGTGATGATGATGATGATGATGATGATGATGATGATGATGATGATGATGATGATGATGATGATGATGATGATGATGATGATGATGATCGCGGAGCAAATTCCCAGGATGTCTCGAGCGGTTTGCTGGTTTCAGCACTCCTAAGGGGGGGGGCGCCAGGGGTATCTCACGGCCTCCGTTCGCGCCACAATGGCGGGGTTGTCTCGAGCGGTGTGCCTGTTTTGGTCGCGAACATCATTCGTTTTCGGAGCAGATGTTGAGGATGTCTCGTGCGAGGCGCCTCCTAGGGGGGGCCGCCAGGGGTATCTCACGGCCTCCGTTCGCGCCCAGATTGCGGGGATGTCTTAGGCGGTTTGCCTGTTTTGGTCGCGAACACCTTTCGTTTTCGGAGCAGATTCTGAGGCTGTCTCGTGCGAGGCGCTGGTTATCGCACCCCAGGGAGCCCAGATTACGAGGATGTCTCGAGCGGTTTGCTTGTTTTGCTGGCCAAGCTCGTGGGCACAGATTCTCCCCAGGACGCCACAGGAGGCTCCAGGAGGCCCCAGGAGGCCACAGGTCCCAGGAGACATCAGGAGGCAACAGGAAGACTCAAGAGGCCTCAGGATGTCCCACGAGGCTCTAGGAGGCCCCAGGAAGCTCCAGGAGACCTCAGGAGGCCCCAGGAGGCCCCAGGAGGCCACAGGAAGCGCCAGGAGGCCCCAGAAGGCAACAGAAGGCCCCGAGAGGCCCCAGGAGCAGGAGGCATCAGAAGGCAACAGGAGTGGCTCCAATCCCATGTGTGTTTCGTATGCTCCTATAGATTGGGTCTCACCCGGAGCACGAATCCTTGATGTTATACGTATGTTTCTATGGATTGTTCTTCTCCTGTGTATACAATCCTAAATGATTTACGTGTGCTTCTATAGATTGGGCCTCCCCTGGGACACGAGTCCTTTGTGCTTTACATGTGTTCCCATATATTGCCCTTCTCCTGTGGCTCCAATCCGCAATTTTTCTGTACGTGTGTTCCTATAGATGGGGCATCTCCCCCGTGGCACGACTCCTCCCTAGGAGGTCCCAGGAGGCCCCAGGAGGCCACGCGAGGCTCCAGGAGGCCTCAGGAGGCTACTCGAAGCCCCAAGAGGCCCCAGGAGACCCCAAGAGGCTCCTGGAGGCCCCAGGAAGCCCCAGGAGGTTCAGGAGGCGCCTAGACGCTCTCGGCGGACAGGTCCATGCGAATAGATGCGCACATGGGGAGCTCCTCGCGGTGAATCATTATTTTCACCACACCAGAAGGACAGTCACACCCACACCTCACTCATCGCTCAGACTCGCACATCACTCAGACTCGAGCATGCTCTGACCCACTGATGATGACGACGACGATGATGATGCTGATGATGATGATGATGATGATGATGAGGTGATGATGCTGATGACTACGATGGCGACAATGATGATGAGGATGATGATGATGATGGTGATGATGCTGATGCTGATGCTGATGCTGATGCTGTTGATGTTGATGTTGATGTTGATGATGATGATGATGATGATGATGATGATGATGATGATGATGATGATATGGGTGGTGGTGGTGGTAGTGATAATGAGGATGATGATGATGCTGATGATGATGCTGATGATGATGATGATGCCGATGCTAATGTTGACGTTGATGCTGATGATGTTGCTGATGATGATGGTGATGATGATGATGCTGCTGCTGATGATGATGTTGATGATGATGATGATGATGATGGTGATGATGATGATGATGATGATACTGATGATACGGATGATGATGATGATGATGATGATGATGATGATAATAATGATGATGATGATGATGATAATGATGATGATGATGATGCTGGTGATGATGATGATGATGATGATGATGATGATGATGATGATGATGATGATGATGATGATGATGATGATGATGATGATGGCGGAGCAGATGTCAGCACCCCCAAGGGGGAGCCGCCAGGGGGTATCTCACTCCTCCGTTCGCGCCACGCGAGGCCCCAGGAGCAGGATGCCACAGGAAGCCCCAAGGGGCCCCAGGAGGCCCCAGGAGGCTCCAGGAGACCCGAGGAAGCCCCAGGAGGTTTCAAGAGGCCCCAGAAGGCCCCAAGCTCATGCGCGGAGACACACCAATACTACTGAGACTCCTTCACACTCCAACCCATTCACAATTAGATTCGCTGCCAGACCGTCAATATTCAAGCCCGCTTCTATCCGAAAGCTCTTGCGCCTAGACACTCACGGCGGACAGGTCCATGCAAATAGATGCACACATGGGAAGCTCCAGGCAGTGAGTAAGTGTTGTGCCTGACCACCTTGTCGGTCTCAGAAGAACCAACATCGCCCCAGGACGGACCCCGCGACCCTCAAGAGGACCAGGGAGGCCACTAAGATGGCCCCAAGACTGGCCCAAGAGCAAGATCGCGAACTGAGAGTTCGAGCCAGTCCCCTCCACGATGGCCCCGAGACCACCGACAAGCCACAAGAGAACTCAAAACAGCCAAACAAGGACCCCAATAAGCCGCACTATATTCCAACAGGCCCCCAAGACGCCCTCAAGGGACCCCCAGGAGGCCCCAAGCAGGCCACGCACGAGACATCCCTCGGGAGATCCACAGCCCCAGCAGAGTGGTGGATTGGGCCGACCAACGCTAGATCCGCCGCCCGTGTGGCCTACCGTGGGGTAGTGTTTCTGCCTATATATATATTTATATTTATATGTTTGTGAATATATGTATACATGCATGTATGCATGTATGTGTATGTGTATGTGTATGTGTATGTGCATGTGCATGTGCATGTGCATGTGCATGTGCATGTGCATGTGCATGTGCATGTGCATGTGCATGTGGATGTGGATGTGGATGTGGATGTGGATGTGGATGTGGATGTGGATGTGTATGTGTATGTGTATGTGTATGTGTGTATGTGTATGTGTAGGTGTAGGTGTAGGTGTATGTGTATGTGTATGTGTATGTGTATGTGTATGTGTATGTGTATGTGTATGTGTCTGTCTGTCTGTCTGTCTGTCTGTATGTATGTATGTGTATATATGTACATTTATATGTATGTATATATACATGCTGCCACTTCCAAACAAATCCCAATGGCTCTCGGCCGAAGCCGACGCCAACTGGAAGTAAAAAACTTAGCCTGGCGAACGACCCAACCATATGCAGTTGTGAGTAACGCACTTGTGAGTATCACCTTCGGTGGAACTGACTATATGGGGCTACGAAAAGTGTGAAGAATGTCTCGAAATGGGCGCGGTGAGCGCATGCGAAAGCAGCCCCTGGGATCCCCGGTGGAGTTCCCTACTATGGGGGCACGAAGCATGCGAGGGGTATGCCGACATGGGTGGGGCGGACGCACGCGCACACTGCCACTGGGGCACTCGGTGGACATGGGGCCACGAAACGTGTGGGGGACGTACCGGAGTGGATGTGGATCCGCATGCGGACCCTGCCACTGGGGCTTCGGCGGAGCACCCCATGGGGCCACGAAACGTGTGAGGGGTGCACCGAAATGGATGTGGAACTGCATGCGGACCCTGCCACTGGGGCCTTCGGTGGAGCACCTATGAGGCCACGAAACGCTGAGGGGTGCGCAAAAGCTGGAACTGCATGCGCGCAGGCCACGGAACGTGTGAGGTGTGCGCCGAAATTGAGGTGGAACTGCATTCGCGCATATGACGACAATGAGGACATCTTGAGGACAGGGGCAAGGGATGGGAGGAGGGAGGAGGGAGGAGGGAGGAGGGAGGAGGGAGGAGGGAGGAGGAGGAGGAGGAGGAGGAGGAGGGCGGGAGGAGGTGACGCGGGGCGCCGTCTCTTCAAAACGAAGACCCAACACCACAGGATGGTTGGGGAATGCACCAAAACAACATGGCTCCAAGTTGGCCAAGAGGGCCCAAACAATTGCCCAAATACGCCTCTTGGACGGCCAATCTGGCCCAAAAACGCGCAAGATGACACCAATATGCCTCCAATGCAGCCCCGGATGGATCCAGGACGGTCTGAAGACGGGCCCCAGGTCACCACGGCGCTGCAAGTTTCTCCAAGAGGGCATCCAGGAGGTCCCCAAATGGTCCAAGCTGCAGGAGACCCCTTAGATTATTCAACAAGCTTCGCGTTGTCGCCTTTTCGAGCCCCTTCCCGGTGTTTCCCCAGTGGTCTCCCTAACGATTGGGGGAACACACCGTCCACAACACGCAGTCCATTGTTACGGCCGCAGCTTCTTTCGAGGTTTCATCACATACTCCTTGGTTCGCGGTTGCAAGGCCATTCGCGCGGCGGTGGAGAGCCTGCCCCGGGCAGGACACGGAAGCGGACGCTGCCTGCGCACAAGAGGAGACGCGGAGGAGAAGAGGCGGCGGTCACGAAGGGGGACAAGGCCAGATTCAGAGCGTGAAGTTCCTCGACGGCAATGACATACCACCACACAGGTGATCTCAGAAGGTCGAGCACACGCTAGCGCGGATTACGGATCCGTTGGTCTGGCGCGTGGCCGCAAGACCCATGGATCGGGGAAGGCACTGACGACACATGAAGCCAATGTCGCCTCATTTGGCGACGGAGCGCGCCGAATTCGGTATGAAGACGGGCCCCAGTCATAATGCCTGCGCCGCCTCTGAGAAAGGCAGGGGGCGGCGGTGACTCGCCGAGGGGCGTCTTCGATTACGCAGACATTGATCCGTCCCCCTGGAACTCAGGCCGTGCACACGCGCAAGAAGCGTTCAGGGTCGGCGCTCAGATAGAGCGGCCTCTGACCGACCACCACCGTCTCGCCGTGCGGGCCCTGACCGGCAGAGTTCATTCGGATCTCCTCCTTGGTCTTGGCGGCGCTGCGGAACACCTTCCTGGTCCAGCCGGCCTCGCGGGTGTCGATGATGTCCTTGTCGGGCGCTTTTCGCCCAGTTCCGGGCTCCAGGACCCTCACAGATCGATCCAGCTGGAAAAACTGCAGCAGGCAAGATGGGGTCTTGGGCTCTGGTCCTGATGTCTGACGATGCCTCGACTTCTTCGCGACGTCGGATCTCAAGGAAGGGGGCAGATCCTTTCAGGAGGCCCAGAAGGCCTCGGAGCGACTTTCTCAGCCCTCTCCGAAGCCACGTCGCCAGCTGAGCAAGCCTGCCCCCTCGCACTTGCCCCCTGGGCGCGCCGCCGAGCACGATGTCTGGATGCTTCCGAGCTGTGTTTGACGGTCCCGGGGGACGGCGAGGGCCCTCCGACGCCGAACACGGATGGAACAGAACCTGTCCGTCGCGATGTCTCGCCTCGCGGCGCGAGCATGTCTGGGTGTGTGGCCGTTTTCGGAGGTCGATGGCGTCCTTGATCATGAATTGGATCCTCTTGGTGTACAAGCTCTTGCCGTCACGAGTCTTCATGGCGCGCAGCTCGTCCAGGCGGCCAAAGACGACGGGCAGCGCGCACTGGCCAGAGGGCATGGCCTCCAGTAGGGGTCGACCAAAACAGTCTTTGGTTCGCGCTGTCGTGCCGTTTTCGTGCTGGTACGACCGATGCCCCCAAACATACTTTTGGCGCAAATCTGAAATCACGATTGGCCAATGGTGAGCCCCGAAATGAACACAGAACGAGAACGACGAGAAAACGGAAACGAGCCACGAACTTGCCAGAACAATGCTGAAATGTAGAACACTCCGGGCTCGCCGGGGTCTGGTTGTCCCTCCAAGCCTTCCCGGAACCGTCCGAAAACCCTCCCCGACGGGTCCCGAGGCGCTTCTCGGAGGGTGCAGGGTGGGCTTCTGGCAGGTTTCGGCCGTGTTGGTTGGGTCATGCTGGGGGAGATCCAGTCCCAGCGAAAGCTGGGCTTTCTAAGTGTGCGTGTGTGTGAGAGTGTGTGTGTGTGTGTGTTGGTGTGTCTGTGTGTGTGTGCATGTGTGTGTGTGGTATGTGTGTGTGTGTGTTTTGTGTAAGTGTTGTTTTGTGAGTGTGAGTGTGTGATTTGTGTGTGTTTACGCTGGCCTCCAGCGTGAATCCGACGCTGTTCAGCAGCTCGCACGCGCAGTCCAGGGCGTGCTCCTGCGGTGCGACGTCCTGCAGGTCGCAGAGCACGAGCTCCCGAAGGATGCCGCACACCACCTCTTCTCGGGTGCTGCCAGACTGGCCCAGGGCTGAACCTAAGCGGTGTTGTTCGTGTTCGTGTTGTTTCTCGTTCTTCCTCGTGTTGCCTTCGCTTCGCTCTGGATGCACAACAAAACGAAACATATGAAATGGCCCACGAGATGGCCAAAACACCGCTTGGGTCCAGCCCTGGTCCCAGGCCAGGATCCATCAGCATCGAAACAGGGAGCTGCATCGAACCGAGATCTTCGTCGGATCGGGCTGCAGCGACGCGGAGTCGAACTCGAATGGGATCGGCTGCGCCCGGATGCGCAGCAGCGCCGTGCAAACACCGCGCCACATCGGATCGTCGGAGCATCGGAGTCGGATCGGATCGGGCTAGCCAAAACCGACCTGTGATCGGATCTATCGGGCGGATGGCTTCCAAAGCACCCCTCGCAGATGACGCTCCCGAGAAGGCCCAAAGAGGGCCCAGGAGGCCCCGCCATGGCGGGACTGTGGAGGCCCCCGGGGGCCTGCGGAGGCCAGCCGGGACTACCTGGGGGATGCCGGTACAGTCGGACCTGGGGCAGAAGCACGTCCCCCAAGAGCATGGGACCCTCCGCTGGCCAAAACGCACAGAGAACCTCCGAGGGTGCCCTCCCCCGGGAAGCACAAGAACCTCCAACAGACAACGAAGAGCATGAGGATATATCCCTCCCCGAACCGACCTCGATCTTAGACCTCGGTCCGACTGCAATCTTTGTATTCATATCTATATATATATATATATATATCTATATATCTATCTATATATATATCTATCTATCTATCTATATATCTATATATCTATCTATCTATCTATCTATCTATCTATCTATCTATCTATCTATCTATCTATCTATCTATCTATGTACATATGTATAGATATATAATCCCTCCCAGAACCGACCTCGATCTTGGACCTCGGTCCGACTGCAATTGATGCACACCGCCCCCGGCGCCTGGGGCCGCCTGCGCGCCCCTCGCCCGCCGATTCTCGGCGGCAGGCGAGGGGGGAAGTGAGAATGTCCTCCTCCTCTCCACCTCCTCCTCCTCCTCCTCCTCCTCCTCCTCCTCCTCCTCCTCCTGACCAAGAGCATCCTGGACCGGCACCGTTTCTGGCAGCACCTGGCCTTCGTGGACAGGAGCTGGCGCAGGAAGAGGTGGCCCACGAAGCGCATGTTTGCCCGCATCCGCCCGCGGCGCTCCTGGCACAGCGCCTCGAGCTCCTCGCAGCCGTGGCCCGCCTTCTCGTGCTCGGAAGGCTCTGGGGCAGCCAACAGCTCCTCGAACTCGACCTGGCAAATGTTGAGCACGGATGACTTGAATGTCGTCGGCCTTCCGCCATCTGGCGCCGGGAACTCAGGGAAAACCGAGCGGAGGCTGAAAACCAAGTCCGCGTACGTCTCGCTGTAGTGCGGCTCCGACAGGGCCTTCTTGAAGATCAGCTCTATGATAATCTCGAGGGCCTCGACACTGGTCACCTTGATCGCGATGAGCTTCTCAACGACGGTCGTAAACTTCTCGGGGCATACCTTGTTCAACAGGCCCTTCACCTTGTGTCTGGCCGGCTACCGCGACGATCACGTCACCCCGTCGTGTCGATCAGTACGCTAAGTCACAAGGACTCGGGACCGACTACAGGCTGATCACTGAGATCACGATCACTGAATGCCTCATACTTGGGGTCGGAATGGATGGGGTCGGAGGACCGCGCCGCATCGCCGATGCATCGCCGATGCACTGCCGATGCATTGAGGAATTGATGTGTTGCCGATGTATTGGCGATGCACAGGCGACGTCGGCGATGTCTCGGCGCAGTCGCTGCACATTGAGCGACGTGCGATCCTTCGACTCCATCTGCCTGGACCCCAGCTGGTAGGCCTAGAATCACGTTCCCCCCCGATCACCGCGATCTGTGATCACCAATGTTAGGTCGGTCATGCCCCCCTACAGGCAGATCTTGGACGAAAAACTACAATACGCAAATTATGCTTCAAAATAGCCAAGAAATGCTCAACGAGTCGTCCGCAGACTATTTCTTGACTATTTTTGAATATTCCTTTTGTAGAGGGACAGGCCCGACTCAACACCAGTGGCGTGGCCCATAGACTTGTGGATGCCATGACAAGGGAAACTGTAGCAATCCTCTCACTGGATTAAACATGATTTTACCTAAAATGTGTAAAACATGTTCTAACAATGTTTCAAACATGTTTCAACATATCTAAAGCATGTGTGAAACATGTCTTAGACATCTGGAAATCATTTGGCAGCATGCTTCCTCTCCATGAGTCGACTTCCACAACCATAGACCCACGGACAGCCGCCGACGCCCCGGCGCTCTCTCCCAGGCGCGGGGCGCCCGAGCTGCCTGCTCCACCTCTTCCTCACACACCTTGCGCCGTGCTCTGCCGTTCGTGGGCCCCGGGGGTCCCCAACGGGCCCCTGGAGAATCCTGGTCATCGCTCGGACGTCCATTCCCTGTGTTTTTTTGCGGTTTCGTGCGTGGCTCTTTCGCCAAATGATCAAGGATGCTCGTCGATGGTCCTCGGCGAAGGAAAAATGCACACGTCCGAGCGATGCCAAGTGCCGTTTATGGGCCCCGGGGGTCCCAAACGGGCCCCTGGAGAATCTGGCCGTCGCGCTTCTCTCTGCCCGGAGAGAGTCAAAGGGCGTTTCTGCTTCTGCCGCCGTGTCTGCGGGCGCTAAGCCCTGGACTTCACGCCGCAGGGCCTCCAGCTCCCCGAGGTCCTTGCCCGCAACCGCCAACCACTCCAGAAAGCACCCCAGAACCCAGAAGCCCTCAACACTCTGAATACCCCGATGCTCCTTCCCATCCCTCTCTTTCCCGTCCCCCGTCCTCATTCCCCTCCTTCCCGAGCGAAGCTGCATAATCAGAGGTCGTGCATGGATGGTATATGTTCTTATCGTGTGCTTGCGTGATTTCAGCGACATGTGACATGGCGCCTCCGTCTGAACACCGGGGCTCAAGCTCTCAGAAAATAGGATTGCAAAAAAACCGAAGGATTGCAAAAAAACCGAAGGATTGCAAAAAAACCCTTCGAGCGATTGCAAAAAAACCCTTTTTTGCAATCCTTCGAGGGTTTTTTTGCAATCCTTCGAGCGATCTCCGCTCTGGTAGCGAAGCCGCCCACGGGCGGCGCGCGCGCGGCCCCGCCCCGCCAGGCCAGCGCCTGCCGCGATAGACGCGGACCGGATCATCGAGGAGGTGATCAGCATCACCAGCGAGGTGAGCAGCAACTCCAGAGAGGTGCGACGCAACATCGAGACGCAGAGCAACACTATATGCGACTTCCTCGTCACGGGTACGGCTTGGCAGGACGATTCTTATCAACCTTGATATTGATAGAATTTCCACCGACGAGTTCATTCACACCCGCCCGGTGAAAGATACGATTATCCGATCAATCAGTTCGTTCACATTGGTAAAGCATGCAATTATCCAATCGACGAGTTGAGTCATTCTGGGGAAGCATAAGACTATCCTATTGAACTGTGAACAACAAACATGGATTTCAGAGGTCAGTCGTTGCTGCTGGAAGAGAGCACCAAACAAACACCTCGCGGCTATGAGCCGGGCATCGCCAAGTATGGAGTCCAGAAATATTTACAAAAGTTGCCACCCCAGTGGAGAACCACAAATATTGATGACGACGCTGTGGCAGCTCTTCTCGTTCTTCAGAGGCTGCAAGGAGGAGTGTACAAACAGGCATTGCGGTTTAAGATCGAGAGACATGGTATGGAGTTCATTGGAGAGAATACCTTGGCATTAACACGAGAAGAAGCTGATCCAATCAATGGCGCAATGGCCCAACCTTCATGCCTGACTTATTCACACGATGGTTGGAACGAGAGTACGGCTTGCACGAGCAGGACACCGTTGGAGTGGCCCTCGACAGCTTCTTCCAATTCGGGAGAGGCCCAAGAGACCACGGACAGTATATTGCGGACTTTGAGCTCGTCTACGGCGGGGCATCGGATCAAGCTGGATTGAACATCAACGCAGCTGGCGAGGGCTACTTACGTTTGCAGGGATGTGATCGATCGGCGAAGCGTACCGATGACATCAAGTTGAAGATTGACACGTCTCGCGAAGCAGTCCCTGGCCCAGAAAATCCTGTTCAACACGACGGCTCCTGGTTCGACTCGGACAATGAAAATGACTGGGACTACGAAGGCTGCTTTAATGACTGCGGACAACGGCACGACTATGAAAATGACGATTGCGCTCCAACTGAAGGAACAATGATGATGAGAATTACTAATACGACCGTCAAAATGAGAATGATGAGGCTTATAAGGGCGCCGGCAAGAAAGGCACCAAGAACAACCTTGGCAGTTGTAGCAAATGTGGTTCCAAACGGCACAGGACAGCGGAGTGCCCAGCCAGCTCCAAAGAAAAGGTGAAGACCGACGACCACGACACCAGCAGGAGCGACAAAGGAAAAGGCAAAAGGCAAAGGAGACAAAGAAGGACCCAGCAAAGGTCGAAGTAAGTATCGTGGGCAATGGTGAAAGTCGTGGACGTGGTAAAGCTCATCGCAGCAGGAAAAAAGCGTGGAAGAGGCAAGCAAACAAATGGAAAGCATTGTGACGATTACGATGAGGATCTAGATGACGATTGGGATCAATAATACGGCAGTTGGTAATATTTCACCAGATCTCAAAATCACCTCGACAAAGCCAGCCAGCCAGCATTATCGAAACCGAGCGTAGCCAAATGTTCACCGAATGAAGCTGCAGGCAATACATCATCATGGTCACCCCTTCAGCCATTACCATCGCACAGCCTGGAGACGGCCTTGAATCGCCAACCAGATACTGGTTTGAATTACCGCGCCAACATCGCCACCACTACGAGACCAAGAATGGCACATACTCCACCTCCATCAATGAAGAGCGAGATCATCAATCGATGAAAGCCTAGCTCCATCATCCGGAGGAGACATCATGACCATGAAATACCAGAACTGGGATCTCCATCACGAGCAGACGACAATGAAGGCGAGCTGGAGCCTAGGAGGTTACCTCGTGGAGTGGTTCCTGGCGGCTTGGATTTCTTGGTCTGGGCATCTTAGTATGTGCTACGAAACCGACAACGACCAGCGCAGCGTCACCCAAAACGTGAACGGAGTCAATACCAGTTATCATGCAGTACGAGGAGCGAAGAGCCATGGTCTTCTATATCACCCTGGAACGTCCTCTGGCATCATTGGCACGGACACGGTCAGACAATACCAGAAGGACGTGCCGAACGGCAACGATTTCAGGACAATGCATACTCGAGCGCATTTCACCGGCATCGACGGCAAACCTACTCCCGGCATTGGCGAGGCAGTACTACCATTGAAGATACCAGCCATGCGCGGCGCCACTTCCTCTGGCGACATGATCGGTGGGACTGGCAGCCGGTACCCTGGACTGATGCCATTATCCACGTCCATCCGAGATCGAGCCATCATGTTTTCAGCCGTCTTCGACAATTGTGATGGCGTCCTGGTGGTCATAACCGATTACTCACGCTTTGGAAATAAATCACCGCCGATCTACATAGACTATTGCACACGGATTGAAACCACTACACCGTACCGAACGATAGCAAGAAAATCCGCGAAGAAGTTGACCAACAGCATCTCCGTGGTATTCCCATGGATAATCTAACTGTTTTCTGGGATTTCAAACCATCGGCCCTCAGCAATAGATCGGCGGACTTTCAGGTTGATGCAACACCCTTGGACACTAGCACCAGAGCGAAGTTATCAAATCCTCCTGGAACGAGCTCAGCCAGGCGACACACACACACACACATCATGCAGCAGCTGAGCGCCCTGAATCCACATATCCAGGAACTTCGAGATTATCTCAAACCTCAAGTGACTATCAATACCAATCACTTTGCGAAAGTGAGGGCGGATTTCTCAGGAAACCAATGGACACCAAATGCAGCGACCAACATCAGTACCCGCCGCGGAGAGCAACGATCACAAGAACTCGGCACTTCTGGAAGACATGGTGTACTTTCAAAGGCAGCCGCTATTCAGGCGGTATGCTTCCTGACGGAATACATGAGCGACAACGGGAACGACTATCAAAGAACTACGTCGGCATCCCTGAGACGTTCTATAGCAAAGCGAAGTTGGCAGCCATCATTCCTGCCAACGCACTACCATTTCGCAAACATCGTCAAGACCAACATATTACGAGCGTGGACTTTCCAAGAGCACTTCTCAAGCAACAATTGCTTGACCCTTAGGGCTTTCAGAAGCGAGTTCTCCGCTTTCTTCCCAACGAATATGCGATATGGCTTGGGTATGAGTGTGAAAGATGATCAGGTCAGCATCAAGACATTCCCCCACACACTACGAATCCACGTTAAAAGATTCGCTCCTGAATGCGCACCCTCACCCTGTACGCGGGCAATCGCTACGACATATCCAGAGAAGAAGGCATTCACTCGCATCGCCGAAATGCTGGCTCTCCAATGGATCACCGACTATTGCAAGGCGACCAAGCGCGAATGCACAGACTACAT